CAATGTATATTTGAACAACCAAAACAATTTCTGTCAATTTTTCGTCACCTTCTTTGACAAACTTCACATTGACGTTTCGCGAAACTGAGTGAAGGCATTGCACAATTCAGTGTTTTGAGATACAGTTTGTTTTGATTGGCATGTGTTGGAATACAAGTATAAGAAATTAAAAATTTAAAAAACTGACTTCAAAAACGTGCAGATGCCATCACTACATCTCAACCAAATTTATATGGGACCACCCCTGAGGTACCCCCTTACTAACAAAAAAAGAATCATATAAATCGGATAAGGTGGTAAAGCATTATCGCTAAACATCTTCGAGCATATATAGCTAAACATACATAAAAAATGAAGAGTTTGAGGATTTTCTCATGGATCCAATTATTAGATACATTAAAAAAAAAAAATATCGCGACGAATTGAGAACCTCCTTTTTGAAGTCGCTTAAAAATAGGAGTGTCATTGATTGATGTATCATAGTGTTAAATAATCTAATTTTATTAAATACTTCAGGAATTTAATCACCCTAGTATTTAAAAATGTCAATTTAACAAACAAAAAAATTAATGATGTACAATTTAACCCCCAGAAATAGCCATAATAACATAAAGGTCAGATTCAGAATATTTAGCATTTAGATTTCTAGCGGAAATTGGTACATATTATTTAATTTCTTAAAAACAAGTAGGCACTTGAAAATATCCTTGACAGTCATACTCTAAATATATCATCTTTCTCACTCATTGTATTTAAATTGCTAATGGTTCAAATAATTATTTGAAAAACACCTAGAAACGAGAGTCATAGAATGGTAACTACCATTAAAATAACCATAATACATATATAGAAAATGCATAAAAACCTGTAATCATACATTTTCCTAAAAATATTATTATCATGATTTCTAAATTTCTAATTATTATTTTTTTTGTTCTATACCTTTATCTGTCTAACAAGCGCTACATTAAAATGCTTCTAATGATAAATAATTTATCTCTCTCTCATTTTCTATTTTTATTCCTTAAATGATTTTGCACTTTACAGGACTTTATGTTCTTCTTGTCCATTTTTATTACCTTTACATTAGCTGACTTATTCACAGACGTTGATAAACAACCCTTCCATGAATTCCTCTGCTCAGATTCGGAACTGCAGGAGGAAAGTTATACCACAGGATAAAGAACGATACAGAAAAGAAACATAGGGCTAAAACAGGAACCTAGCAACCGAAGCCACACCTTCTTTTATGGTGGAGCATTGTCAAACGTGAATCGTAGATTTGTTACTTGTTCGAAGTGCAACAGTGCACACTTCTGTAGCAGATGAACGAAGCTGTCACTGCTGTCGCTGTCAATATTTTTTTTGCCTGTAGTCTTTTGATTTTTGGTTGGTTTTAGCGAATATTCTAATAACTTTTACGTTTTGTTAGTGGTTTATCTTTAGTTTTTGTTGCTGTTTTTAATTGTGGAGTGTTCATTTAAGACTTTATTGTACATATTAAGATTAGATTTATAAACAATGCCGCGTCAAATAGGAGGAGGGTATACTTTTATTTATCGTGGATGTACCTCAAGAACAGGTGACAAAGAAGGATTGTTCACTCTTGTGAAAGATCCAGTGAGGTATGTATGAAACATTGAGTGTGAAATAGGAATTGACCTTCCCATATATTGTAGTACAATGATTGTATGTATTTTTCAGACCTGAATTGTGGCTTCAGGCAGCAAATAGAAAGGCCTTATTGGGAAAGAGTGTTGAATACTTAAGTAAACATTACAAAATTTGTGAACTGCACTTCCAGGATAAATTCGTTTTATCAGTCAGGAGCAAGGAAACGATTAGTTGCAAATGCATTCCCATCAGTATTTCCTCACTCAGAACCTATGAAAAGAGTCACAGTTCTGCAAGGTAAATAAATAAAATTTATAGTTAAATGTTACAAAACGTTTGCTACTTGTTATTTTTTTACATTACATTTAGTAGTTTAAAAAATAAAATGATAAGTACTAATAATCTTAGTATATCATTATTATTTTATAAACATTCAAGATATAAAAAATATAAATATAAACTCAACCCATACATTCCATTTTATAGAACTGCCTCGGAGGTAAACTGTACTATGTCGACATACAACAACTTATGCAAATTAAAATTAAGTAGTTTTATCAGTTAGGTTAGTAAAAAATACAAATATTGTGACAATAAATGGAGTGTCTAAATGCATATCTAGTTGAAATTTAATAATTTAACAACATTCAATCTGCTGTACTAAACAGTTGACTAGAATGACATAGTGCAGTTTACCTCCTAGGCACAGAAATATATTCACATTTTATGAAATTATTTTAAATTTCATCTGGCTAAAAAGTGTGACTTAAACATTTAATTCTGACAAATGATGCACCTTCTTAAAACTAGTTGATCTAATAAAAAATTGTTATTTCTTTCTTTTTTTTTTAGAGGAATTTGTTATTCATGGCGGATAAGGCATAGACAACTTGTGCTTACCCTCAACTTCAGCAGAAGTAGAATCTATTGAACAAGTTCATAGTCAACCATCTGTTCATCTACCTTGTGTAACAGCACAAATCTAAACGAGTAGTGTATTATCATCAAACACTCCAAGAAAGCAGAGACTGCGACTAAAGATAGCAACGTTAAGGAAACGTTTGTATGTTGCAAAAAAGAAGAAAAATCCAGCCTCCGAATATACATTAAAAGATTTTCATGCTATGTGCAAGCAATTTTTTAAAAAATCCTTTGCAGATATTGTAATTTCGCAGAGCTTATTACATAGTTGTATATTAGGATGTAGCCATTTTAATAAAGCTACTTATCTATGTATTATAAATTAGGCTTGCTCTATAAATGTGTGTAAACAATTTTAATTATTTTAATTTGCATACACTTAAAACGATTATGAATACTATGTAATAGCTTTAACAAAATATATCATAGGTGTGTTATCCTTTTTTAGACAATATAAGTCTAATTAAACATGTACCTACGTAATTTAAGTACATAGTTTCTCAACTTTTTTTTTATCGTTTTTTATAATATATGTATGTACTATTATAAGGTATATATTTGTTTCACTATTGTTGTTTAATTTCATTTTTAGTTTTATTGGTATTATAATTTATTATTAATAATAAGTATCCTTATTGCATATATAATAAAAAAGAATCTTAAAATAATTCCATTCAAAAATTCTATTTTAATAAAATACATGCATAGATTGTAAACTTATCAATTACATAAATATACGTTTTTTATTTTTCTTTTGTTTTTATTTATAAAATCCCTAAAATACGCTTTAGCTAATTATTTTTTACCAATTATCCCAATTGATTTATACTCATGGATCATAAATTTATTTTTTATACCATGACTAGTAAGATTTGTGACACAATATTAATAGTTCATTATGACAGGGTAAAATAAACTATTGTTTAAAACTTTATAATTTTTATTTTTGAAACCTCTGTCGGAAGTTCTACAAATTGAAAAATATTTTACTTAAATCAAAAATAGTTTAAAATTCATTCATGCAAATTTTCATAAAATATGACACATAATTCTGTAAAAGAGAAATGTAGTTTTCACAGTGTAGGTTCAGTAAATAGCTACGTTCTCAGAGTATCTCTGTGGTGGAACTCAAGGTCAAATATTTCTATCCCTTCAACTTCAAAGTTCCGACCATTACTTTCTTTTCTGTATTGTTCTTTCTTCTGTGGTTATACGCCTTCTCACGAAACTGATGACAGGACATTGTCGTCTTGGTAACTAGAACGATAGATTTGCAATAAACGTTGAACTGTCGTGGAAGGCGAATCTGCAAAGCACATTCTATGTACTTGCTAAGCTTTGGATTGAACTAGGTTCCAGATCTTCGTGTTCAACCAAGTGGAATTTGCAGACTTTAAACAAGTTTTCATCCAAAGGTGTTACAATGGAAGGTGGTTCCACTTATTTTCAACCTAGCCTTTATATTTTAAATTTTTTTCGTTATTCTCTGAATCTTCTCGTATATATCCTTCATTCTATCTATTATTTTCTTGGTCTTTATTTTTATTTTCTGTCCTCATCATTTGCTTCAGTGATGCGTGTTAGCCATTTTTTTGCTTGCCATGCATTCTCGTGATTTTCTCATATCTAATGAAAAATACCAATAATAACAAAACGTAGGATGGAGAAATCTTAAATTTTTTGTAAACCTTCGAAAAATATTTATTTTCAAAAATTTTAAAAGGAATTTAAAAAAAAGAACATTTACGCGCCATACTGTATTAAATCTGTAAAAATTTGCTGCTTTTCGTTTTAATAAATATCTGGTAGTTTTTTTAAACGTCTCTATAGAGTGCTGCCTTATCGTTGCACAAATTTAAAGCTCTCAATATTGTCAAACACTTCATATAATGAAGTTTTCCCAGTAGCACGCATATAAATATATAAATACAATTTTATTTTAGAAAATCTTTAAAACATTTTTGCTTTCGCGAAAGGTCCGGTTTGCTTTTAAATGGTCAACGAAATAAAATATTTAGGGTTTATATTCAACAACCATAATAATGATTATATTTGTAGAAAGCAAAGGCGCTCCAAGCTAAATTTTCAGAGGGGCCATGATACTAATTTTTTTTTAAAAAGTAGGGTAAACATATTTGTTTGGTGCGGGACACGAACGATGCATGTAGACATTATAAGAAGTCTTGCTTATTACTTTTGAGGCTCATGGATTGTATCAATTTTATTCTCGTGAGGGGGCATGGTCCCTAGATATCCTCCATATGGTTACTCTAAATAACGGGGGGAGGGGAATTACCCTTCCTCTTTCTTGTATCCTCGCGCCTATTTACAAAAGTCAGACCTCAGCAACATGATAACTTTAGCTTATACATAATTTGAAGCTAGGTTCATAATTTAAGTCTACGTTTTTCAATTCTACTTTTATCATTTTTGCATATCGTTTATATATTATTTTTGTTTTTTAGATTCGGACCTGATTACTACGCAAAATTAGCATCTTCCCCGTCAGGAACTAAAGCCAAATCCCCAAAGTCTCCAGAGGTAAGTTTAAGTGATGGAAATATCAACGAAATTGAAGCAACAGCGGTTTATTCTAGCCTACCAAGAACTTTATATACTTCGAAAAACTCTAGCAGAAATTTCGTTAAAAATCCTTTATTAAATTTTCCCGAATTGAACAATTTTTGACTTCTTTGAATAGACAGAAAGATTAAATTCAAAGTAAAGTAAATCCATGATCTTGGTATCTCGAAATATTTGTTTTTTAAATTTAGGTACTTAATATGAAACTTTTTAAAAATGTTTCCTATATTTGTATGTTTTGGTATAAGAAACCACATTCTACAAGTATCTAGGGATGAAAAGTACTTCTAGTCAATAAATGGCGAATAAAAAATTTTTAAAAAATAGCTCGTGCTCACACAGATTGCTATTATCTCACCTATATAGACAGAACCGTATTCAAAAATTGTATTCAAATTATTTTTGTGATATCTAGGATATCAATTTTTTTATAGGTATTTTATATCTCAATACAAACAATTGCTTACCTCATAATGATACAGGAAGTAGGTACACAAGTAGTAATAGCAGTACTATACTCCACTATGCCAGATTTTTCTCCAGATCTGAGGAAAAAATTAAGCCATCAGCAATGTAATGCCATTGACTAAGCTTAAACATTTAAGTATTATTCATGTAGTATTCAGATAGTCTTCAGATAGTATTCAGATATTGTAATAAAAACTTCAAGTACAGCTTGTAACGTAGAGTAATTATTTTTCAAACAGCGGCCATTTTGGATTTTCTAGAAATGGGGGAAAATGAACTAGTGCTAAGGAATTTTAAAAAGTTTAAAGCTTTGTCATACGTTAGTTCAATGGCATTACGGTGTTACCGATTTAATTTTTTCCCCAGATATGGAAGAAAATCTGGCATAGTGGAGTACATTTTGTTATTACTTCTACATAGTCTTCAACAATATCTGTACCCCACGTGACTTAATTTATATCATCAGTTGCTAAAACTATCATTAATAATTTCAATTAATGAAGCATTTTTCTCAATAGCTCGTCGCATCTATACAATAACTCAGTTTGTACTGTTCGATGGCTCAATCAAAAACCGCCACAAGTCAAAAAACAAAGAAAATTAAATTTTTGGTTTAATAGCTGCAAAATATCATTGAGTTTTTATTTTAAATACCGCCACAAACCAAAATATCCTTAGAGATGTCCGAAAATCATTTAAAATCTAGCCACAAACTGTATGTGAAACTGCCTCAATTCGGGTTATTTTCTGCAAAACACCCAAATTTTTAACAAACTACGCAATAACTCGATTTAGGGGTTTTTATAATCGTAATCGTTAATTTTAACAACAAGATGTCGTAGCTTTAAAATAAATTATAAAGATTTTATGTCAAAAACAAAATAATGATAATAGAGACTTACAAAATTTCACAATGAAACTTCTCAAAACAATAGTATTTTAGTTTTGGCAGTATTTGTTTGAGTCATCATGTTGGTAATTCACTCCATGCATTGGTAATGGTAAAATATCAACCCGGAAACTATTTACTTATTGAAAGCTTGAAGATAATGTCTGTATAATGAGACGAGTGGAGCAGCATAGTTATAGGCCGACGAGCAAAATGAAACAAGATGCGGCGTGGAGTCTAAAAACAATACAAGTGAGAGTTCGAATACATAGTGTGTATAAAGAGATATCGATTCCGGGATATCTTCTCTATTGAATGATTGAAACAGGAGTGAGGCTAGTGGCGAATTTTCTAGTTAATTCTTGTGTAAGTGGATGTGACTTACTAGCGTTTTCTAGAGTTGACTCCAATAAAGCTCGGTTAAATTACTTTTTAACTTCAGTTAGAGGAAATTAGAAAAGTACTGTAACATACGAGATAAAATATATAAAAGAATGTGCATGTTGTTCATACGTGACCTTTGGCACGCGTCGATAGGGGAATATATTTAGTTTGTACTATACCTAGGGCTGTATGAGTTCCTATTTACAAGATGGGTGATAAGCACTTCTTGAATGCGTGGATAGACCGAGATGAGTTATTTACTGAATAAATAATATGCATTTCTTAAATATGTGAGTTTAACACCAATGTATTAAACATTTGCAAAATATTAAATTTGAATTTGAGATTGTAATCTGAGATTTAAATAGCGACTTTTTAGATAACTGAAATATAAGTTCTATTAAGTAGGTCAGTAACATTGTTTTAGGGTTGCAAGTGAAGTTATTAATGTTACTTATCCTACAGATAACATCAATTTAGTCACGTGGAATGTGAGTAGTGTTGAAGAATCTGTACTCTCTTTTTAATTATTTCTTCTCATTTTTTCTTAACAAAGAAAATTTTGTAATGAAAAATATTAATGTATTTACATTCGATTAAATAAAACATACATAAAAAATATAAATATCAGATATTAAAGAACAATATTATGTTGTGATAAACGGGAAACACATTTTTATTAATACGGAATAAAGTTTCATTTGTTTAATAAATGCAATCCAATGTCCCAAATCAGCGACATAATTATTAATACACATTAAAATCAAAATAATTGTACAGCTTCATGTTTAACCTAAAATATCTCGAAAAATAATAACTTTAAAATTTGGAAAGGATTAACCAGTCACTTGTCCCTGTAGTACGCCTCTGGTGGTAGCCAGAAATCTTTATTTAACATAATATAGTCGTGTGTATAGTATCTACACTTCCCGCCAAATATGATAATAATACGTCAAATAGTTTTAAAGTACTGAACAGAAATAATTATTAAATTTTTAAACAAAACCCTGTAACTCAGAATGGAGACACATTTTATCATAATTTGAGCTCAGGATTCTATTGTTGAAATATTTCCAATTAGTAATGAGTCACCCTGTAGACATTCTATTTTGAATAAAAACAGGTGAATGCAAAAATCATACGGTCAAATCTTAAATTATTACTTATCAGTTAACTTTTTTGTTTTTGTTTTGGGATTTGTTTTCTTCGCCAATTTTGACTAGAAATACTATAATCAGACTGTTTACGAAGTTGATATTTCCCAACTATAGCCATGCAAGTAGAGTTTGAAGACGAAAATAGAAAATAGGACTGTAAATTTTAGTTGAAATAGATTGTGTTGAGTATTGTTATGTTTTGTGAAGGAAAATAAAATTAAAAAAATTATATATTTTTCTTATGTTTAATATTGTCAAGTTTGGAAATCTAGTAAAAATATTTGTTTGGAGAAATATTTTTCTACAACTTTTACTTGGTAAGTTTTTTACTTTTGATCATTTCATGTTCATTCAAAATTTGTAATCGAATAAATGCACAAAAATTTTTCTGATTTAAAAACCGATATATGCTATTAATACATCTAACATTATTTTAATTAGAATTTAGATATTTACACAAATATTAAAATTCATTTTCTTTTATTAATTTGATCACTTACAATATGACTAAAAACATTTTAACTAATCACTATTTGGAAAATTCAATTGTATTTGTCTAGTTCTTTTTATTAAAACATTAGAGATGTTCGTCCCATTTCTTTTTTTTATAAATAAAAATGAAAGATTACAAATTTTGGTTTACCTCAAAAATCATTAAATGTCAGTGAATTAACTTCAAACTCAGAGTGTGTAAGGTGCGAGAAAATTTATTTTATAATGATACAAAATTAAAATTTAATTATATACGGAGATAATGTTAGACAATCTAAAATATTATATAAAGATAATGTTAGACAATCAAAAGGTTCTTAAATATATCTTATGTAAATACAGCTTGAATAAAAAAAAATAGGAAATGAAATATGATGTAAGATAGTTTTGTTTAAAGATATTTTTTACTTTTTTTAATATATAGTTTACGCGATTTAAAGTCCATAAACATTTTTTTTTTTTCGAAAATATTAAAAAAACTAGAATGAAGATATGCTTGGCATTCCATATTACACTTTTCACAGTTTAGCAGACCCCCTTAACCCCCATTTTCAATCAGATTTTTCAGAATCAATAAGCTTCATTCCTTTAAAAAAGCTTGATTTGATATCGTTTTTATTTCTGAGTTTTTTTCAATATTTTTATTTATTTATTCATTCCCCTGTAGAGCTTGATTTTTATTAAATATTTTATGTTGATATGGCTTTTGGTTTTTGATTTCTAGTTTTTTTTTTTATTTTAACCTCCCTCGACTCCCATTTTATTTAGATTTTTTTGTTAAATTAAGCCTTTTTCCCTTATAGAACTTAAGTTTTGCCAAAAATTAAGTTGATATTATTGTTCGTTTTTGAGTTAGGATTTTTTTAATATTTCAACCCCCCTTAACCCCCAATTTTATTTAGATTATTTTTAATCAAAAGGTTCGTCCCCTTATAGAGCTTGATTTATTTTAAATGGTGAAGTTGATAATCATTTTTCGTTTTTGACTTATCATGCGGACAAAAAACGTGACATCGGACGGACAAAGTAGAAGCTATAATACTCTTCACAGACTACTGTGTGAAAGGTATATTATAGGTATAATGATGTTTACGATTTTTTCTGTCCATTGGTTATGACTATCTAATTAACTTGACTTCAAAAAAAAATACCAATTTTAATTTATAGTCTATGGAATTGGTACTTTTTGCCTTAAATAAAATGAGGTAGTTCTGATTTTTTTATTAATTGGTAGTGATAAAATGTGTAATGACAAATCCAAGTTTTCCACCTCTAAAGCCCTTCGGATCACAGTTAAATACTTAAAAATTAATTAAAATTTAGGAGTTTTTTCCGTTTTTATCAATTTTTACCACCAAGGACCTGTGTTACGGCACAAGTTACTATGCACACTTTTTAAGTAGACCAAATTTGCAATGAAATGAGAGTATTTGGTTTTGGCAGGTCAAATAGTTTATAAGATACGGCTATTTAAAAGTTTGCAACATCTCAAAAAAAAGGAAGTATTATTTTTTTTTGTTTTCGACAATTTTTACCCCTAAGGAGTGGGTTTATAGGAAAAGTTACTTTTTTTTTTTTAGTTATTAAATTCCACTAAATTTCCGATAAAATGAGATCAATTATGTCAACTTACACCCAATAGTTCCTGAGACACAGCTTTTCAAAGTTTGCAAAATGAAGTACGCCCTGTTAGTGAAATAAGCATTATAATTTATTAAAATAAACACTTTACTAATTAAAACATTAATATGAAAAATGTAGTGAAACGCCTCATTCTATTTTATGTACAGCATAGTTAAGGAACTAGTTATTACTCGCATTTTGTGTATATTTTTGATGGACCAGGCTCGTCCTCTAAATCCACAGCACACCTTTTGGGTGCTGACGTAGAATGTCTCTATCGAACTGCTCAGGAAAGTCTATATCGTCATTTTATGGTGTGTCATCAATGAATGGTTCATCAATGTCGTCACACATCAGGTTTGATATGTTCTCGCAACATTGGCCAGTGCAGTAGCTGCAAACAGCCGAGCATTTCAGTCCTGCTTTCCTGAAATCACAACTGCTGATACAACCTTCTTTGCAGTTACAGAAAATTATATTTAGCAGAGCTTAAGGAGCTGGTGGTTCTCATCTATTGGGGAACCAGGCCTTGTGTACTCAGCATCCAGCCCCAATCGAGAGGATTATTTTCATTTCCAAGCCACTTCTCTACCTGAAACAAAATCAACAACAAAATAAAGAACCATGTATAAAGAATGTGGTCTGAAACAGAAAGGAATAAAAGAAAAAAACTTATTCTCACCTGGTGGTATGTTTGCAGAGAGTGAAATCTTGCAGCATCCCTGGTTGGAGGCAATCTGGCGAGGTTTATGTTGGGCTTAACTGCCACCCTAGTACACAACTGGAAGCGAAGATCGCTAAGATTTTGCGATTCTATGTTGCCTCCATAAAGTGAAACGAGGAAGGATCTTTTGCGTCGGCAACTTGCTCAGGTGTGGCATTGAAGCTGTTCGAGACGTAGCTGTTTTTTTATTGTCGATAGAAATTTCTTTTTTCCTTCGCCAAAAGGTGCTGATGTTGTATCACAACCGCCAAACGCGTGCTATTCCGGGGTTGTGATAATTGCGTAAAGGAATTTGTTAAGTAGGTGACATCTGGGTTTTTTCCTCTTCCACATTTTACAAATAAAATATTGTTATTTGGTCTGTTTGATGGAAAGACGTAGTCTCCTCCATCTCGTGACAAACCACAAAGTAAGACCAACAAATCTATATCCTCGCCAACGATCTTCACTACTTCGTAGGAAGAGAATATGGAAATGGCTACAATTACTATTAACTTATCAGCATCTTCCTCTGCCTGTAATGTTAGAATTTTGTTCTTCTCCAGGTGAACCTTCAGCATGTCGACGTGTCTAGCTTGTCTAACATGTTAGTTTGAATATCAAATCGGTGACATATGTTTTTGTTGTATTGTTTCTTCCGTGATATTAGTTGCAAATACAAGTAAAAATAAATTCTGTTGTAATATTTAATATGTGTTATGTTACACATAAAAGTAAAAACAAAACACAATAAAAATCTACCAGACAACTAAAAAAAATGTAATACTTCCTTTTTTTTAAATTTTGCAAACTATCTGGCCTACCAAAACCAGACAACTAAAAAAATGTAATACTTCCTTTTTTTAATTTTGCAAACTATCTGGCCTACCAAAACCAAATTACATAATTGTTTACTTACCTCAACAACTTCAGCTGTGTCTCTGGAACTATCAGGCGTAAGTTGACATAATTGGTATCATTTTGTTGGAAATTTAGTGGGCTTTAATAACTAAAAAAAGTAACTTTTCCAATAAATCCACTACTTAGGGGCAAACATTGTCGAAAGCTAAAAAAAACTGTAATACTTCCTTTTTTTAAATAGCCGTATCTTAAAAACTATTTGGTCTACCAAAACCAAATTATATTCATTTAATTGCAAATTTAGTTTTCTTAAAAAGTGTCCATTTGTAACTTTTGCCGTAACGTAGGTCCTTGGTAGTAAAAATTGACAAAAACGGAAAAAAAAATATATATATATTTTTTGTTTAAAAATGTTTCTAATTGAATATTTTTAAGAAAAAAAGAAAAGGCATTAGTTTTAATATTTGATACCAAAATTCGCTTTATTTGTTTTTAACAGAACACAACATGGCATTTCAATTAATTTCCACAAATCTGAATTTTCAAATCTATGTCTGCTAATATACCAATCGAAATTTTGAGAAATAACTTATTGTAATTCTTTTGAAAATATCATTAAAACATCGTCAACGTAATTCTCTTTTATTTTTTTTGGTTTTATTATTCCAGTCGGTAAATAATCAAATACAAATAACTTTTTCGAATGCTACATGTAAAATAAGATTTTAGAAATGGTTTAAACTGCAGTATCATTGTTGCTAGAATGAATTTTTTTTTTTTTTTTTAATTTCATTAGGCCAATCCTAATAATTTTTTATATTTTGATTTAGTCGTAGTAGACGTGCCATTTGATATATTTTAATATGTATATTTTTATGTTTAAGCATTTGTCACATATTTTTAAATTTATTTTTCATCAGAAACTGATTTCAAATAAAAACAGACGTAGGAAAAATTTTGGAAATATTAAAATTTTGTGTGGGAAAAAAATAGATTTTTTGTTTGCCACGGAATTTCTGTTAAAATTTGTTTGCAACACTGTTGACTTTATTTAGATAACAAAAAAATTAAATATAAACTTTTCAGTTTACATTGAATATCTTCAAAATTAATTTTTTATTACAGAATTATCCACTTAAACCATATAAAATATGAATAGCTATAAAACTGTTACTTTATTTTAGTATCTAAGGTAAATTTTCTCGCATTTCACTCTGCAGTAATAGCTTACTGCAAAAAGTGGCACATCGCCTTTTTTGTTGCCACTTTTTGCAATTAGCTGAGGGACTATAACGCATTACTAACAATACTCAAACTAATAATAATTTTTGTTAATATTAATTAAATGTTCTAATGCTTTTCGCCTAAAATAAAAGTGAATCATAAATTCATTTGGTATTATCGTTATCATTATTTATCATGACAACAGTTTATCATTAATTATTATACTTGGAAACGGCGCCGGTGGAGGTAGAATTGTTACAAAAATTTGTTCTATGTTAATAGTTAATGAAATCATATAAGGGGGGAAACATGGGCAAATAATTTCAATTTGTAGGTGTTACATTCTTCCCAATTTCAGTTTTTCTCTATTAAAATTAATAATTTAACAGATTTAATGAACTTTATTGAAAAAAATTTTAGGTAGACTAAAATAACATTTGCCCCAAAAAATTTTCAAAAAATATTATCAGATTTTTTAATGAATATCATTGAAGCTCTAACTAGCTATCAAAAAGTATAACTCAATACTTAACTATACTATCGAATTATGTAAAGTAACCCATACTGCTCCACAAGACGCAAATGTCTTCGAAAGTCTCTCATGAGGTCCTGGATGGAATTCAAATCAATGTCTCTTAGTTTTCGTTAATTCGCCAGCCAAAACTCCATCCGTATGAAATATTCTACAAAAATTAAAAAGAAAACAAAGTACCACAATGATGTTTTACTTATTGTGACTAGTATCAGAGACAATCCAGCCAGACGTGTAACTCAATGTATTTTTTTTGTTCGGTAAAAGTTATTTGGGCGATTGTAACCACAACCAGTCTATGATGGCGCCACTAGTAAATAGCGGGAAAATTAAAAATGCTTTAGGGCGGGAAATTCAAACATGGATTCAGAAATAAAGTTTTTCTATACAAATTTACAGGAGAAACAAAAACTATTGTTTCACTGTATATTAAAAAAATATAAAAGCTTCCGATAACATCAAATTTTTTATCACATAAATAATCATTTTAATAAAGGAAGTTTTAATCAGTTTAATATAAACAGTGAACATAGTTTTTATTACTCTTGTAAATTTCGCTAAAAAAAAACTTGAAAATTCTATTGATTATTAAATATTTAAACTTGGAAAAATAATACACCAAACTCTTTTTCTATAAATTATATTTTTGTAAGGTGTACAGAAAAACAAACTACAATTGCTTCGTTTAGAAAGTACCTCGTATCATTTTGTGACAAATTACAAAGAAAGTAACAGTTGTTATATATTCATAATATATTTAAAAACTAATGTAACAAATATTTTATAAAGTATAGTATCGATACCTTTTTGCCAGACTATCATAAGTGCTATTTGAACAAATGTCACTTATGTTAGTCTGGCAAAAAGGTATGGATATGTTATGACTGTTTATTTTAATAGAAACCATGGAAACGAAACACACATATACTCAACACAAATGTATAAGGCCCGAGTCAAGTAAGTTCCCATCCTGTAAACTGGATCGAAACCTGCTAGACCCCTGCTAACTTCTCTTATAGTAATCAAGATCAATAGATTTATATGCCATGCCTTCTAAAAGGGAATGAAGGATGACATACTATCATCATTTAAACAGGACGTTGCTGAAGGCTTACCCCTGTTATTTCGTTTGTTTGTGTATCTTGTGTGTGTGTGCATTCCTGTTGTGTCCCCAGTCATGTAAAAGTTTTCCTAGTCTCCTAATTTGGTTACTAGGTGGACCTTCTCCAACTAGTAGTCTAATCTATTCGATCTGTTCGGAAGCAGGAGGTACTTTTCAAACATAGCAAATAATATTATTAATAATAAACACTATTTAAAGATAAATACATTTTTGTAATTTTTTTGTCATTGTCCCTTACCTTTCTCTTACACCACCAGGGTATACCTATTTTCCATATTCCCTTAATTATAGATTACCTTACAATGTTCGAATGAATATAACATTTTACTCGTGAAAAATCTAATTTCATATTTAACACTTTTTCAATTTCATTTGAAACAATAATTGGTACCTATATTACAATTTATTATCAAAGAAAATTTCTAATAAAGTTATAGCAAAACCTACTTAAACTACTGGTTGTTCTGCAGAATAAATTAACTTTTCTTGAAATTGATCTCTCTATAAAATCCAAAACCGACCTGATGTCCTCAAATTTATTTTCCAATGCATCCTGATTTAAAATTCTGCCCTTTTGTGATTCAATTTTTTTGTTCTTCCTTTAGAGTGGCTGTTAGAGGTAGGTGTATGTAAGAAATAGCTAATCTCTAATCATTTCAAAAGTCCTTTGCCAATACTACATGTGCAGATTTTTTACTCAGCATACATTTTACTTTTCTAGTAGATAGGAACTTTGTGCTGCCATTAAAGCTGTCCAGACATTCATCTACCTACTTAATGAACACAAGTAGCTGTAACAATGGATCTCTGTTCCAATTCACCTAAAATAATTATAGTCATTGTGTAATATATTATTAAACACACACATTATACAGTAGTTTTCCTAATAAATTGGAAATTACTTACCTCTAGAAAGAAATGTGTACAAAAACGCGAGTTTGGTTCCAGAAATTGCTTCATGCAAAAAATAATATGCAAAAATAAACATTCCCCCCCAAAGAAAATTAATTAAACAACAAAATCAGACTAAAAGAAATATACGGGGCCCAAATTAAATTAATTTTAATAAAATGCACATGTTCATAACAACATTCATAACATTGTCAGTTGTCAGTTTTAATACTATTAATCGATATTTCAACGTCAAAAAACCAGCAACACCAGCGCCCTCTGAAAATGGTGTTAGTTTTATTGGAGAGAGATAGACATATGTAAAGATCAATGTAAAAGAAAAAGAGGGTCATATATGTAATTTAAATGGACCACCGAACATATTTTCCTATTAAGTTACACGTCTCTGTTGTCTCTGCTAGTATTTATTATACATGTTCACCGATTCGATTGCGATGATCTCCGACATGTTACGAATGTAGGAATTTTAATCGTGTGTAGGGAATTGTTAGAGCAAATATACAATATACGAGTATATAAAATAAAAATGTAACGGCAGAACTAGCCAAAGTGCCGGCAAGTAAAAGCTGAGCGTCTTACGTCTTTCTTCGTCTGTCGTCGTCTTTCATCTTAGGTATACAGTGTGTCCGTAAAGTATGGAACAAATTCATTTTTAGCTAAACAGACCATTTTAAGAAATAATCCTGAAACACATCGATTTTTAATTTTAATTTACTGTATTTTAAAATAATAATCTAATCAATAGGGTGAACTACTTTCGAGTAATGACGTCACCGTCATTTTTTTTAAACACTCCCATTTTGTCTCAATTTTCGGATTACTCTACCTGAGCTGATTCCAAAAATGTATCACATGTTGATTCCAATTGGTACAGGGTGAGCAAAAATACAATAGTTTTATGTATGCTCATAAAGTAACGCGTAACATTC